CCTCTTCCCAATCCTCCTCCTCCTCCTCCTCCGCCTCCTCCTCCTCCTCCTCCACCTCCTTCTCCTCTTCCTTCTCCTCCTCTTCCTCCTCCTCCTCCTCCTCCTTATCCTCCTCCTACTATTCCTCCTTCTTTTCCTCCGTGTCTGTTGCGCCCTTTTCGCGCACGCGCTGTCTTTCCGAAGCGGGCCCAGCCCGTCTTTCGCTGAACAGCGACCGCGTCATGCAGGCGCGGAGAGGCTATGGGCCGCCTCCGCCTCCGCCGCTGCGGCAGACTGGACCGCCGCCGCCTCCCACAGCGTGGCAATCCGTTGAGCCGCTGCCCCCCCGCGTTATCCGCCGCCGCTTCCCCCGCCCAGACGTCCTGCCGTGGCTCTTCCTGCTGCTGTTCCAGGTCCGCTCGCGCTGGGTACCCAGGGTCCTGGCATCCTCGTGTTTCCCCCCCACTTCCGCTCGACGAGCGAGCGCAGGGGCCGCTCCCTTCTTCGGTAAGGACCAGTGGAGCAGTTAGCGTTTGAGGAGCAGGCCCAGCAGTTGCGCAGCACTCCCACTAGTGCCGCCTCCGCTAGGGGACTGGGGGTTGCGCAATCGAGGCCGTCAGTGCTGTATGTTTGAATGCTGCTGACGATCATGCTGCGCATCGCCGTCTCAACAGACGGTAGCTCCTGTCCCCATTTTGGACCGCCATTGACGCCTTCGAGAGCCAACGTGTTGTAGAAGGAACCGGTCCCTTGCCTGTCGCTTCCACCCGTGCACTTTCGCCTTCCCAGTGAGAGAGATGCGGGGCGCCGTGCTTTCGCTGCTCATGCTGACAGTTCTGGCGTCATGCAGGGTCGTGCTTCGTCTCAGCGGGTTGTGAGTTCCACTGACGAGCGGTTTTCGGTCCCAGCCCTCCCTTGCATTTTCTCCCGTGGGACGCCCCCGACCGCGCTCCAGATCCCCGCGTTTGTAGAGCGAGGCCAATATGCGCCGCAGTTCCAAAGCATCAGAACAAGAGGTGTCTTTTCCTCGCGAGCACTGGTTGCGGGAGAGCCGCTTCGCCAATGCTAGGGTGCATCAGGACTTGACATAAAGCGGCATGAACGCTCATGTTCGGGCCAGGAGGGCAGGCCTCACTTACGAAGGCGCCGTTCGAAGCGGCTCTCTGCCAGTGCAAGAGTGTCGCCCCTTCCCTTTCAAAGAGTCTGGAAGCGACCAGCCGCTCCAGCGGGACGCGGTGCCGTCAGGCGAAAGGGCTTCAGATTCGTTTCAGCTTCCCAGCACCAAGACGCGTGCTGGTAGGATTTCGAGCCAGTATTGGGTGGTTCCATTGCCTCAAGTACGTTCCCAACCAGCCACCGGCGTGCCATCCATTATTGTGGGCACATCTCTCGCCATGGACCCTGGCGTGGCGCCAAGATGTGTCGAGCAGAGACGGGTTTCAATGCAGGTCTTGCTGTATCGAACTGGCATTCCCGCGCGAAAAGGGTGCTTAGATTGTTGGTTCGATCGTAGATCTTTGGCGTATCCCGACATTTTCCCAGTGCCCGACCGCCAGGCCAGCTAACTCTTGTCCTTCACTGCTCACTGCCTGTTCATTCGTTTCGAACCGCTTCTTCAGCTGCGGTTCTTTCTGCAGATAGCAGTCGGCTTGCTATGGGTTTGTCCAGGTTCTGCTTGTGGGTATTCCCCAGTGGGTCTCCCGTACTTTCACATTCGCTCTGCGACTCGCGCTGCCTGTGAAGTGCAGCTGTCCTTGGTTTGCGCGGGCAGGGCCTTGCTTTCAATCAGGCTGTGCGTATTCTCGCTGATTCGTCAGTGCGCTTGTTTCTTCGTTGCTGTATGCTAGAATTGCTTGTTTCGACATGTGGGGCCTATGTCACCGCAGTATGCAAACCTGCCTTTCAGTTCAGGGCTTTCACTGTTCCTGCTCTTCCTCCTGGAGATTCCCCTTTTCCCTCTCTCCTTGGGTTTCTGGTTACATGCCGCTCGGGCTCACGGCTTGACCCGTCTTTTCATGCTCGCAGCCTTTCGTCGCTTGGCCGCTGCCCCGCTCAGTTGCGCGTTTCAGCCTCGTGTGGCTCAGCGTGGACTGTCCGTCTTTGTATTGCAGGGTGGCTTGCTTCGCGTCCGCTCATGCAGTGGCAGCGCCCGAGCTGGTCGCCTGTTACTTCTCGTGGTCGGTCTCGGGCCTCCTCGGCAAGTTGCAGTTGCAGTGCTTGTCCCCTCTCCTCTCCTTTCCCCGCTGCGCTCTGGCATGCATGTGCTGGTGCATCGGCAGGCTCTGCTCCGCTCCGCTCCGATCCGATCCCTCCCTCCCTTCCTTCCTCTTCCCCTCCTCCTCCTCCTCCTCCTCCTCCTCCTCCTCCTCCTCTTCCTCTTTCCGCCCTCGCTCCCTAACCCCCCCTCCCTCCTCCTGCTCCTGCTCCTCCTCCTCCTCCTCCTCCTCCTGCTCCTGCTCCTCCTCCTCCTCCTCCTCCTCCTCCTCCTCCTCCTCCTCCTCCTCCTCCGTCTACCTTTTCATCCCTGGCACGGGCGAGGAGTTTGTGGCCATACAGCACCGCTGGAGTCGCCGCCGCCCTCCCTTCTTCTCGCCTCCTCTCCTGTCTCCTGATCGCCCGTCCAAACGACGCAGAGGCCACCGCCGCGCCACCGTGGCGCCCGTGGCCGCGCCCCGCGGCCGCCCGCAGTGCCAAGCGCACCTGGGCAGAGGCGCACCTGCTGCGCACCCTCGAGGAGCTGGTGCGCCGCCGAATTGAAGCGGGGCAGCCTGCGAGGCTGGCGGCGGCCTCGGACCCTGCGCTCGCCAGGAACGCTGCCGCGGCTGGCGAGGGCCCCGAGCGCGCTCTGGCACGGGCGCGAACGCGGCCGAGCACGCGGAGCCGACCGATTGCGTGGCGGAGGTGGGGGCCGAAACCTTGGCATCGCTCGGACGTGTGCGTTTCTTCCTCGGCGAGGACCACCGAGGAGCATCCTTGATCAGTTGGCGACAGAGCCACGCACGAAACCGCACAAAAACACAGGGAATGGACGTCCGAGCGATGGCCAGAAACTGAGCTGGAGGCTGCGCGCGCGCCGGGGCCAGGGCCCCCTCTGGTGGCACGGCTGCGGCGGGAGCCACCACGCCGAGCGGCAGGTGGCGGCAGCACGCCGAGGCCGAGCGCCCGGCGGCGGCAGCGCGCGCGGCCACGCCGGCGGCAGAGGCCCCGGCGAGCGCGCTCGACCGAGAAGCCGAAGCCTCCGCGCGGTCGGAGGCGCCGCTGGAGCCCTTCCGCGCCGCCGTGCAGAGCGCTCCGCAGACCCGGCCCTTCGAGCAGGCCGAGGCCGAAGACCGCCGATTGGGCCGGCGGCCACAGCATCGGCGAGGCCCCACACGGGAGCGGCGTCGAGGCAGGGGCAGGGACGCTGCGCGGAGGACCGGCACGCGAGAACGCATCCGCTGACGAAAGTTTCGGGGGCGGAAAAGAGGGGGGTGATGACTAGGGTTGGGTGGATATCATGGCGTGGGCCATGGTATTTCCCCAGATTTCATGGCGCCTCATCTTATTTCATTACGTCCTTGGCCCCCCCGCTGGGCCGCGCGCATGCCGCCGGTCATGATTTGCACCCCCCCTCTTGGACACCCCCCTCTTGGCCGCTCCCGAAAGTTAAGGGCAGGGCGGCGTGATCTCCACCTGTCTGGCGGCAGGAGGCGGAAGCGACACGAATCCACGCAGACCACCATTTGAGGCAGCCAGAGGCCGAGCCCCACGAGGCCTCCGCGCTCCTGACGGAGGGCGAGGCAGAGGCTACGGCCGAGTCGGGGGCGGCCAAGAGGGGGGTGATGACTAGGGGTGGGTGGGTATCATGGCGGGGGTTATTATGCCTCCCCAGATTTCATGGCGCCTCATCTTATTTCACAATATGTCCCCGGCCCCCCCTCCTGGGCCGCGCAAAAGCCGCTGGCAAAGATTTGCCCCCCCCCCCCCTTGCTGACGCCTTCCTCTTGGCCGCCCCCGACCGATGAGAACACACTGGAGGACACCGATGCGCAGGACAGATTCGGGCAGGAGGCCGAGGCCACGAGCTGGCGCGGACACTTGCTAGGCGAGCAGCCCTCGCAGCGTGTCTGCTTGCAACGGCGCCCTGCTGCGATGCCCGACGCGGCGGGCGCCGGGGCGGCGCGGCGCAGGCCGAGGGGAAGCAGCGGAGCCGCGGGGCGAAGGCCAAGCCGACGGAGCAGGAGAGTCAGGAGCGAAAGGAGGACGTGCACGTACACGAATCGAATCGACGTCGGCTTCGAGCGTGCGCCCTGCGCGAGGGTTCGTGTCGCGAGGCCAGTCTCGCGGATATGGGGGCCGTATTCATGTACGCGGTCGGGCACATACTTGTGTCGTGGGTCCCGTAGAGAAGTGGTACGTTGTGGGACGTGGCTACGGCTCCGCTGTCGCGTCGTGTCGACGTGGCTACGGCTCCGCCGCAGGCGTTCGACGTTGAACGCTGCCAACGGCCCAGAACCTGCCAGTATGGAACGATCTGGCGATCAAAAAGCCGCCGATCGCTCAAGGTTGATCGATGCACGGGGTGTCAGCAAACTCCGCCCAGGGACGACACGAACCTGCGAACGACACGAACCTGCGGCATGAGGGCGCGTGAAAGGAGGCCGCCCGCCTGAGGTTCTCCAGCGAGAGCCTACGCTGCGCCTGGGTGTGCGTTTGGTGGGGCGGGGACGCGGCACGAAAAGGGAGTCTCCACGACCTGCTGACTACCGGGCTAGGTTGGGGCGCGCCCACACAGGTCGCGGCGCAGACCTGCGTGCCACTCGCCACACGAGCACAGAAGCTGCTTGAAAAACCTCTCTCTCTCTCTCTCCTCTTTCCTCCTTGCTCCTTCCTCCCCCCCTCATCCTTCCTCCCTCCCAGCCCCTCCTTGGCTTGCTCTCCTCCCTCCCTCTCCCTCCTGTCTCTCTCCTCTCCTCCTTCCCCTCCTCCCTCCCCCCCCACGTCTCCTCCCTCCCTTCGCCCCCTCCCCTCCGTCCCCCGAGATCTTCGTGGAGCAGGGCACCCAGACCATCGACGTGGAGCTGATGGACAGCCGCGAGAGGAAGGCGGGCTCCGACCGTGGCCCGGCGTCGTCTCGGGCCATGGCCGTCGCCGTCGTGGTGGGGGGGATGGTCGTCGTCGTCGTCGTCGTCGTCGTCGTCGTCGTCGTAGTGGTCGTGGTCGTCGTCGTCGTCGTCGTCGTCGTCGTCGTCGTCGTCGTCGTCGTCGTCGTGGTCGTCGTCGTCGTCGTGATCGTCGTCGCTGCCGTCGCCGTTGTCGTACAGTCAAAGCGCACAGCGAGGATGCGCGACTTTCTACTAAGGCTACCCCTGCGTCCTTGCCCCGTGAGCCCATGCGTGGCGTTCTTCGCTTGCCAACCCCGTTCAAGAAACGTCTACATGGCCTTCCAAGGCCCTCGTATCCTTACCGCGCATCCTTCTTGTGCGTTTCGATAGTAGTCGTCGGCGCAGTCGTCGTGGTCGTCGTCGTCGTTTCCGTTGTTGCCGCCGTCATCGTCGCCGTCGGAGGAAGAGGGGAGGAGGGGAGGGGGGAGGTTCAAGGTAGGTGCGCTCGCGTCATATCTGACGTCCTACCCCTCCCTCCCATCCCATCCCTTGCCGTAGATATCCTCTCTATTCGCACAGTCGGATGTCGAGCTCGAGCAGGGCAATGATCGAGAGAGTGTACGTGATGCATGGTAGAGCACGGCATGGCATGGCGTAGAAGAGCACGGCAGAGCGTAGCATGCCATAGCATGGCGTGGCATTGCGCGGTGAATCATTGCATCACAAAGCATTGCAACGCAACGCATGGCATCGCACAGCGGCGCAGAACACACCACCGCACAGCATGTCATGGCATGGCGCCAGTTTCCTTGGAGGGTGAGTGGACGTCTTCGAGAGGTCTGGGCCAGTCTGGAGTCGTGGCTCCATATCTAGCTCTTTGGGTGCCCCGAACAGATTCACACAAGGCGGGGCTGATGGAGAGCACGCGCCTTCCCAAGGCAGAAACGGGGCTCCCGCTTGATTCTTCCAGAAAGCGACGACGCCCCCAAGTGGGGGGGGGCTTCTGCGGCCCAGAAGTCAACGAATTGACACCGAATGTGTAATCACTTCCGATTGTTTTGTCGGCTTGGCCATTTTTAAGGTTTTGGGCCTTATTCGGAAGGACCGAAAACGCTCGCGCTGCAGCGGGAACACGATTTGGAACAACCAGAGGTGCAGAAATGGGGCCAGCGCTTCAGCGGGAACAACATTTTGAAAAATACCCAAGCGAAAACGTGCGCGCGACGAGACCGAGGCCGAGACCGAGGAGGAGGAGGAGGAGGAGAAGGAGGAGGAGAGGAAAATAGGGAGGAGGAGGAGGAGGCGCTAGGAGGATGTGCTGAATTATGGGGGATGGCGAGGAGAAAAGGGGAGAGAATCAACTCGTGGAGGAGAGGTGGGAGGAGAAGGAGGAGGTGGGCGGATCAGCCGGGGTGAAATAAGAAGGCCGTGGAGTGGGGAGGGGAGAGGAGGGGGGGGCAAGGGCAACTTGCCCTCATGTTTCCCCAGACTGTATGGAACTCGTAGCGCGACGAGTGGAGTTCCCCATGGGAGAGCTTTCGGCGGGGACGATGAGCTGGATGAGGGCCGCATGTGCAGGCCCGTACACTGCGCGCCCTCCCATGCGCGCTGGCACGGGTGCGCCCGTCTTGCACGTGCGCTCTGACTGCCGGCTTGCCAGTGCGAGACCTCGGAGACGCCATTGCCAGAGTTTTGCCTTGGCATACCTGAGGAGGGGAGAGGGGGCTACAGACGAGTAAGCGCGCAGTCACGCTCGAACCTGTGAGAGTTTGGAACGGCGTGTGTGTGCGCGCGTGCGTGTGTGTGTGTGTGTGTGTGTGCGTGTGTGTGTGCGCGCGCGCAGGCATGCACATCGAGTATGTACACATCGAATGTAGTGGAACGCGCATGCGCGCGTGCACAAACATACATCTCTTGGGGACCGCTCGAGCACTCCTGACCCGACAATCCTCTTCGACCTCATTCTTTGGACTTGAGCACGTTTGCCGCTTCCTCCGCGCAGTGCGCATAGTTTCTGCCTCTGGCTACACTGCCCCCGTCTGCGGCCGCAGCATTTTCGCAGAAGGAGCGAGAGACAGAGAGAGAAATAAAGAAACAAAACAAGTGCGCGCGCGCGTGTGTGTGTGTGTGTGTGTGTGTGTGTGTGTGTGTGTGTGTGTGTGTGTGTGTGCGTGCGTGCGTGCGTGCGTGCGTGTGTGTATGTGTGTTTGTGTGTGTGTGTGCGTGTGTGTGTGTGTGTGTGTGTGTGTGTGTGTTCGTGTGTCGCCTTGAGCGCATCCCAGCGTGGCATTTTACAACCGGTGAATGCAACCCATCGCCGTGCCCGAGGATCGAATGTGTGTGTCTCTGTGTGTTTGTCTATGTGCGGGTGTGTTCGCTCGCGCTCGTGTGTGAGGGCGCGCCACTGGATGACCCCAAGGGGGAGGGGTGGGTTGGGACCCCCCCTCTCCCTTTCCTCGATCCATCGTCGGGGACCCCTCCCCCCCCTCCCCCCCTTTCCCGATCCGTCGTCGGGGACCCACCCCCCTCCCCCCCTTTCTCGGTCCGTCGTCGGGGATCCCCCCCCTCTTCACTCCTTTTCAAAAGGGGGGGGGGAGGGGGTTCTGAACACCCCCCCCTCCCCCTCTTTGGCCGCCAAATTCGAACCCCCCCGCTCCCCTTTTCGTCTCTGGAATCCGACCCCGACCACCCCTAGCACTAATCCTCACCCTTAATTACCCTAACCCCCAACCCTAGCCCCAAACCCAAACCCTAGCCCCAAGCAGCACTCACTACTCATTACGCACTATTCACTACCCACAATTTACTACTCACTACTCACTTCTCACTACATCAGAGAAGCTCTGGATTCAGTTTGTGTCGGGGTTTCGGTTTTCTGCTATGCCTGGCGGCCCATAGGGGCCAGACGGATCGCGAGGAGGTGGAGGAGGAGGAGGAAGAGGAGGAGGAGGAGGAGGAGGAGGAGGAGGAGGAGGAGGGGCCACCTGTGGTTGTGGCTCCTCGCGTTTCTCCGGCCTGCCTCTCTCCCCTCCCCCTCCTCCCTCTCTCCCTAACCCCCCCTCCCTCCTCCTCCCCCCGCCCATCCCCCCGAAATGGGACGAGACGAATTACAACCGACCAGTCCCAATTCCAACCGTTCGGAGCGAATTGCAAACATAAATGGGACCAATTTCAACCATGGGATCTTCAGAAGTACTTCTTTCTTCTTCAGAGGTATTTCTTTCTTCTTCAGAAGTACTTCTTTCTTCTTCAGAAGTACTTCGATTCCTTAGGATTCCTTATGATTCCTTAGGATTCCTTAGGATCCTTAGGATTCCTTATGGTCCTTTGGATTCCTTAGGATCCTTAGGAATATTTGCGAATACATGGGAGTCCTGAAAAATCCTTAGGGGAAGAGGGCGCTTTGGGGGCCTTCTTGAGGTGTCTTTGGGCCACTCTTAAGGCCCTCTCGGGGCCTTCTTGGAGCCCTCCTGGGGCCCTTATTGACTTTTCTTGGCGCCCAAATAAGCCCTAGAAGGGCCAACTTTCGATGGCTGCAGGAGGACCAACTTTTGAGGTCAATATTACGGACACTACTACTACTTTGACCTACTGCTACGACTTCTGCTACGACTACTCCTGTTACAGCTAATAGTACTACTTCTACTCCTACTACTACGACCACTACTACTATTTCCTGCTTCTACTATTACGCCTACTGCTTTCAATGTTATTACTTCTACGTCAGCGGCGCCGAATACTACAACTACAACAAAAACGACTACTACGACTAGTACTGCTATTCCTGCTACCAGCACTACCACTTCTGGTACCATGGACTCTACTATACTCACTACTAGTACTACTAGTACTACTAGTACTACTAGTATTACTAGTACTACTAACTACTACTTCTACTACTACTACTACTACTACTACTACTACTACTACTACTACTAGTAGTAGTAGTAGTAGTATTATTACTACTACTACTGCTGCTACTGCTGGTGCTACTACTACTACCACTACTGCGACTGCTATTACTACTACTACTAGAAGTATTGCCAGTACTACTACTGTCACTACTACGACCAGAACTACTACCACTACTTAGATTGACCACGACTACTACCACTACGACCACTACGAGTCTTGCTTTGCTTGCTACGACTACTACTACAACACTACTCGTACCACTGCCAACACCACCATTACTAGTACTGCTACTACTCAGCCTACTACTACTACTACTACTACTACTACTGCGACGACGACTACTACTACTACTATTACTACTACTACTACTCTTAGTCTTACTCTTATTGTGAGTACTACCACTACCATTACTAACACACTACACAGCTGCTACTACTACTACTACCACTACTGCTGCTACTATTATTACTACGGCTGCCGCCACTACTACTAATGCTAGTCTTACTACTGGTACGACTATTATCGCTACTACTACTACTATGACTACTACTGCCACTACCACTACCACTACCACCACTACTACTACTACAGCTATTACTATACTACTCCTACTACTACTACTACTACTACTATTACTACGATTACTATTACTATTACTACTACTACTACTACCAGTCCTACTACTACTCCTACTACTACTACTACTACTACTACTACTACTACTACTACTGCTATTACTAGTACCCCTACCACTACCACTACCACTACCAGTGCGACTACTCTCGCTGATCATTTTGCTACTGACATTATGGATACTATTACTACTACTACTACTACTACTATTACTACTACTTCTATTATCATTGCTACTACTACGACCACTATTCCTCCTACTAGCCATAATACTACTATTATTTCTGCTGCTTCTCTTATTTCTGCTGCTGCGACTTCTACTTCTACAACAACAACTACTACTACTAGAAAGCCTGCAACGACGACGACGACTACTACTACTACGACGACGACGACGACTACGACTACTACTACTACTACTACTACCACCTTGAATAATGCTACGACTACTA